TGCTCTTTCTGCTACTTAAGACAGTATTTTTACTGTCACAACTTACCTGTAGCTCCACATACCCCAGCAGCGCTGCCTCCCTGTGGCTTTTTGGGTGATGCTTTGGAGTTTTGTTTATGATGAGGCTCTAAAGCTGGTCTCTTACTTCTACAGCCAAATAAGCAAAGTGCAATATTTTGCTTTTAATCGTATAAAATGTTTATTGTAGAGTTACTGCTGATCCCTGTGTGCCTGTGTGCAAAGTGTCTAACATCTGTGTGCCACACTGGCTATCAGATTTCCGTGTAAAGCAGGACTAACCTTTTTCACATCTCAGGAGCTGAATTTAATTCACTGATACGGCACGGTAACTCCTTATATCCATTTTAATGGTCTGGTGAAATTCTGTTAGCAAAATACCTAATGAATGTTGCGATTCAATCAGGGCAATCTAGAGTGTAATGTGTGGAGCGGTGCCAGCATTATATAAATCATTAAACATCAAAATGTAAAAAAAAAAAAAAAATCCCTAATCATCATCTAACTCCAAGAGCACCTATAAATATCTGGGGATGAAGCCAGGCATGGGCAGCGCAGGCGCCTGGCTGGGACGGGCATGGTGGTGAGCTGAGGTGGGATGGCTCCCCAGCTTGGTTCCCTGTGCTTCAGCAGTTGCATTTTTGGATAACAAAGATGCTGTAGCATGGGGAGGGGGTTGTTTGTGTGCTCTGGAGTCCCCCCAGGCCCTTACAAGTCCTAGAGGGGGAACGTTTATTAATTAAAGAGGTGCTTTAAATAAAACAAAGGAGAATAATCATTGCAGAGACATTTTCCGTAGGTAGTTTAGTTTTCTGCTCCAACTCCGTTTGCATTGTGAACTGGGGACTGCACTTATCAGCTCTTTTGGCCCCAGGAACTCTTGCAGCGGACTGGTCAAAAGGTGCAGTTGTGCTCTTGAAGTCAAGATTTTATGAAGATAAACAGTTTAGAGGTTTGGGGGTTGGTTTTAGTTTTTAAACAAAATCTCTTGAAAGTCTTCCTAATGCAAAGCAAATCCAGCTAGCAAATACTTTGCATTTGCTTTTGAAAAGATTGAATTGGAGGTAAACCTCTGGCTTTGGCCATGGGTCTGCTCTGCTGGGAGAGGTTATCTGCAGAGAACAAAACCGAAAATAATTGGTCCTGAAATACAGCCATGTTTAAAATGCACCACAGGCTCCCTTGGAGGTTGGAGTGCAATTTGGAAGACTAATGCAGAATACAGAATGATGACGTTCCTGACTGTATGTATAGATATATATATGGATGACCGTGTGAGATTTCAAGGTGGGGGGTTTATCGGCACTGTCTGATTTTGTGCCCGTCTGCTTGTTTAGGATCTGATTAGGTGTTTTGCTTTCACTCAAAAACTGAAAATGGATGAGCAGAGTGGATGCAGATGTCCCAGCCCTCACCTCTGCTAGCAAACATGATGCACTTAATAGTCACTTAAATAAGAACAAAGCCACGGAATTCTCCATCACAGAGAAATACCTTTTATTAAATGAATGCTGTCTTGGGTGGACGAAAACCTTTGGGAAGACTGCCGGAGATGAGCTCTGCAGAGCCCACGTAAGGCTCCTGGGGAGCAGCCCGAGAGCCCCACCAGCACGTGCCCGTCCACTGCACGCTGCTGCATCCCGGCTGCCGGGAACAGAGCCCATTTGAGCCGCCCCTGCCTGCTGCTTCCCCAGCAGTTCGCGTTGGTGCTCAGCAAACCCAGCACAGGGTTCTCAGCTGGAATCCCAGAGCTGAAAAAAAATGAAGCCTGGCTGGCGGCTGCAGCCACATACAGCCGGGGCAAGAGAAGGGAGCAGAGGGAGGAGCCGTTGGTGGGTGAGCAATGCCCAGCCGGACGCTTCCTACGGCCGCTGCCCCTCCACTGCAGGCTGCTCCCCCCCCGGGGATGTACAACCCCCAGATCTGCTCCGGTGAGCGCCGGGATGGACAGATGGCGGCCGGCGCTCAGCTGTGCCCAGCGCTGCCTTCTCTGGCCTGCAGAGAGCCAGCTTGCATGAAACCACTCGATGTACACTTGGAGCCTTACAGCCAGCCTGTTTCTAAAGACGGCTTGCGAAAAACCATTGAGTGCAAATATTAGGCATGGCAGGGTGAGAAATGGGTTATTTGCAGGGCACTGGGTGTGCACAACGCGTGCTGCAAGTACTGCAAGTTTGAGAGAGTTTTGGTCTCCCAGGGCCGTCCTGCAGACCGTTGCCTGACACCAACTTTCTTTCCTTATTAAACCAGTGTATTTTAAGCCTGAAGCAATGTGTTACCTCTCAAGAAAAAGTAAGCTGAGTCTTTTTTTTTTAATATAGTTATAGCTAGGAGTTTTTCTTCTGCAATGTTTGAGTCTGGAGATATTTTAAGAGCTTTGCTGTCTTGTGCTGGGAGAGAATGCAATAAATATGTAGATAGGGAGTGCTGCTGCTTTGAAAGGTAAGTAAAGGGTCTGTGCTGAACTGACGCTAGCCGAAAAATTTGTTCAGCCTAATTAGCAGCAAATCACTTCTATGTCCAACCTTGCTTATAGAGATGGGAGCCAATTCTCCCCCCGCTTATCCTCTGCTGCCCTTTGTGGCTTTTCAGAACCCTCCCTGGCTGAGCGGCTGAGGGTTTTTGCAAGGATGACAGATCTGCATCCATGTGTCATTGCAGACCAATGAGTGCAAAATGGCATTACTGGAAATTCATGGGGAACGCTACGCCCATCTTGGGCTTTGTCTCAGACTGTTCAAGCTGTCACCGGAACCGGTCACGATCGATCAGCTTTTAAATTTCATGAAATTTTAATTAAAGAATGGAAAGCCTACGAAGACATCATAGGACAAGAGCACTGGAAACAAATACAATTTCACTTCCAACCATTAGCCAGAAAAGCAGCAAATGGTTGACTGCACATCACCATTCCAGTCTAATGAAAAGTACAGCTCTTGGCTTTGGCGGGCAGGTCATTAGCGACTGAATAATCAGTGACATTTCCCTTCTAAATCTGACACAAACGAAGTGCAGTGCTCTGGAAAAAGCCATTAAGTGCAAAGCCTTGCCTTTACCCTGCTCCAGGTATTGCAGAACAAGATCTAATGGCAGCCTTTAGCTGTGATTTCGCTTTGATAGCATCCACGGGATAGTAGCCCCCTGATACGCTGAGAGCCAAATGCTTCCAGCCTTGCACAAGCACGGTTCCTGCCATCATTTTGTGCAAAAATGGGGAGCGAGACTTGCTCCTTGCTGGTGTTCACAGACGCTGCTGGTAAAAAATACAAGTAGGAAACCCTATAACCTAGAGTACTGGGAAGCTGAAAGTTATGTGCTTATGTCTGGGGGCTACCAGGAGGTAAAGGTCTAGCTCATTGTGGAGTCAGTTTAAAGCCTGACATCCTCCTGTGAATTCTGGTGGCAGCTCCCGAAGCTGGGTGTTAACCTGTTTTTCTGCAAATTTGTAATGTTTTCTCGATGGGAGTGGAAAGTGAGCGGCACCGCACAGGAAAAAGGAAGGACTGGTCTTGTTTATGCTTTTCTCTGAATAAGGTGTTGTCAGATGGACGGAGTAATCAAATGGGTGTAACTTCCTCTGCTCTCTCACCCGGTGTCAGTGGCTTTGAAAATAATGCTGAAAGGTTAATTGGAGCCAGGCTGCCTTGGGGGAGGGTCCCTGGTGCTGAAGCAGTGAGTCTTTAAGAAGGTTTTTTGGGAGGAGGAGACCCCATCGGGGAAACTTTTCCCAGGCAAAAGCTTTGACGGGAGCTGGACTGGGAAGCCCTGTCGTCTTGGAAAGTCTGTGCTTTGGAGCTGAGTACATCTGATCTTCAAAATTCCTTTTTCTTTATGGACCCCAAATTAGAAGTTGTCGAAGCAGTCAGTGTATCTTTTTTCAATGGCTCTGATTTATATTTAGCCCTGCGTTGGGAAGTTCCAGTGCAGTATTTTTGGTCATTAGCTCTCCTGGTCATGTTTGGGCTAAGGGTCTACTGTTCAGTGGATAAATCTGTTTTGGTGTAGTCCTGTGAGTTATAGCCTTGCTGAAAACACATGAGTGACCACAGATAAAAGTATATTTTAATGACTAGTTTCATTAATAATGGAGTAGAAAATGGCCCGGGAAAATTCATTAATGGCTAACTGATTCCACTCCCAGCTATTGTATGGTTAGTTCTGGCTGAAGGCTCTCGATAGTTTTATTGCTTAAAAAGGGCATGGTGATAAGATGTTGTTTCAAAATGAAAAGCTTTATTACCCTATCAAAATTTCTTTTTTATATATTACATGTATGATGCATCCTTAAGGTGCAAATCCAAACATTGGCATTTATATAAGCATCCAGGCAGCTATTGCTGTGTGATGGTCTTTATCCTGCCTTGTTTCGGAGAGCTTAGATTCCCAAAATCCCTTCTAGCCATTAGAATTTGGGACTCTCTTCTGAAGCTGGAGGAGGTGCTCTGTCCACCCTCATCTCGCTGCAGAGCGGCGTTCCCCATGCCAGCATTTTGCTTTCCACCATTCGGGGTCCCAGAGGAGATGCCCCGTGCCATCTGGAGAAGGCCTTCGAGGTGCTGTCCAGGGGTTCTCCCAAATTACCCACTCGAATGCCCTTCGACATGTGCTCTTAAAACTCTTTTTCCTTTGTGTACCACAGGAGAATCAAAGCAAGGAGCAAGGCAATTAAAAATATTTATATTCCATGGGTTTGTCATGGCTTTAACAGGCCATCACCACCAGTGCTTTCAGTTCTTTTTCACTTGACTCTGGTTCCCTACTGCTCACTCCTATCAAAATTTCTTTTTTATATATTACATGTATGATGCATCCTTAAGGTGCAAATCCAAACATTGGCATTTATATAAGCATCCAGGCAGCTATTGCTGTGTGATGGTCTTTATCCTGCCTTGTTTCGGAGAGCTTAGATTCCCAAAATCCCTTCTAGCCATTAGAATTTGGGACTCTCTTCTGAAGCTGGAGGAGGTGCTCTGTCCACCCTCATGTCGCTGCAGAGCGGCGTTCCCCATGCCAGCATTTTGCTTTCCACCATTCGGGGTCCCAGAGGAGATGCCCCGTGCCATCTGGAGAAGGCCTTCGAGATGCTGTCCAGGGGTTCTCCCAAATTACCCACTCGAATGCCCTTCGACATGTGCTCTTAAAACTCTTTTTCCTTTGTGTACCACAGGAGAATCAAAGCAAGGAGCAAGGCAATTAAAAATATTTATATTCCATGGGTTTGTCATGGCTTTAACAGGCCATCATCACCAGTGCTTTCAGTTCTTTTTCACTTGACTCTGGTTCCCTACTGCTCACTCCAGTGGTCGCCGTCTCATGTGTTCAAACTTCAGGAGCTGCAGAGAGATGCAGAATATTGCTCATAACATTAATGCCAACAGCTGACTCCCCTTTTCCAAGCATATAGTGAAGAAGAACTACCATGCAACTTATTTTTTGCTGCCTGATTTGGTCACAGAGAACGAGGTCGTATGACCCAGAAACCCAAGTTAAAGATAAAAACGGAAGGAGATTTTTAATTGTAGTTCTGCATCTTAAACTGCCCTCTCTCTAACACAACCGGTGGGGATGTGCTGGACCACAGGTCCCTACACCCATGTTTTAAGGATTGTGGAGGTAGGGGAGGTATGACTGAGGGACATTGCTTTTGCAGCTTGAAACCCTTCAGAGCGCGGAGGAGAAAGCTTCTCTCTGTCTTTTCCATCCTCAGGTGACGTTGTGGACATCTACCAGCGGGAGTTTCTCGCCCTCCGAGACCGACTGCACGCAGCCGAACAGGAGAGCCTCAAGCGCTCAAAGGAGCTCAACCTGGTCCTGGAGGAGATCAAGAGAGCGATCTCGGAGAAGCAGGCCCTGCGGGATATAAACCGGACCTGGAGCAGCTTATCTGGTGAATAAACAGAGAAGTTGAGGATCTCGGGCTGGTTTGAAGCTGTTGCTAATGAGGAGGTAGAGAGGTGTGCGTGCGTGTGTGTGTGTGTGCAGGGCTGCCGACAGGACCTGCTCTTCTCTCCCCGGCGCAAGAAAATTGTGGAGTTCGGAGGGACTTGGGAACTCTTAAACGCCCATTTCTTTAGAGGTGCATATGCATCATTAAACACTGAGATTTGTCTCTGCCGCGGATATTTGCCAATTTGCTTGCTTACAAGCTTTTTTTTTTTCCCTTGCAAGTCTCACATGGTGTTTCCTATGGCTGTATCAAATCCATATGGAAAATGGGTATCCAAAGAGAGGGAGGAGGAAGGAGTTAGGTTGGCTGAGCACCCCTTGCCAATTTATTTGTTCTTTTTTTAAGTTGCTCAGTTTTGGATCTCTACAGAAAGATCTGATTTGACCTTCATTTTATCTTCATTCTCCCCTCTCCTTCCCAAATATTTTGGGACTTCTTTAAGGCCCTCATG